TTTAATCGTCCTTTTTAGGGTTTTAAGATTGAAGTACCCACAAATCTAAAAAGTAACAGTTAAATATGCTATTAAGTTATTGAATAAGGAGCTGCAAGGCAAACAGATTTATATTCTATTACAGAGGAAACAGGGAATTACATAATCAAATTAAACCAGATAAGTTTCAACAGGATCACATCAGTAAAACACACAGATGACAGAAGTAGAGATTAGGGGCTGGAGAGATGGCTCAGCAATTAACAGCACTGGCTGCTCTTGCAGGACCCAGGTTCAATTCCCAACAGCCACATGGCAGCTAACAAGTGTCCGTAGCTCCAGTTCCACAGGAATCTAACACCCTCTATTATTGGTTAATAATTTCTAGGAATTCTATCTAAGGTAATTAGTGATTCAAAAATCAAAGTATATTGCATTATTATTGGAGCTGCTATTATCTATTCTGGGAGCCTACACTCTGGAAAGTGTAATACCTTGAACTCTTAAAGAAATTATTTAGACAATTATTTCTTATTGATGATTTTTTAAAGCAAGTCTCTGGTTGATGTTAGAAGGCTCTTCTTGTGTTCATTGGTTAATAATTCCTAGGAATTCTATCTAAGGTAATTAGTGATTCAAAAATCAAAGTATATTGAATTATTATTGGAGCTGCTATTATCTATTCTGGGAGCCCACACTGTTATTATGTGTTATGTTCACTATATGCCATTAACTACTGTATCCATCAGAATGGAGCTGAATCTGATCCATTCACACACTTAGATTTTAATATTTACAAGGATCGGGATGTATAATAAGGACCATATATTTCAGTGAGCTAAAACATTACAATTTGTTTCTTCTAAATGGGTTCTTCATAACCATCAAAATGTATTTTTAAACTCAAGTCATGAGCATTGCCTCCTTGGGATATTTATGATCAATCTTCCCATTAAACATGAGAATAAAATTCAAGCTTCACAGAAACCATACCAAGTAAATATATCCTGTCATTCTAGATCGAAATGTCTTGTTTTAGCAAAAGTTCTCGATCAAATATTTAAAAGATCAAGAGCTAGAAATACTCATATAGAGTGCCAAACATTAATATCAAAATTACGGTATGAGGTCCATCAACAACAAAAAAGGAAAGGCAGCCGTCTCTCTGATCTCACCAGTAACACGCTAGTATTCCATTTAGCAGGACTATTTTCAAATCACGAGGCTGGTATAGAAACCATCAAGAGAGATAAGGACAGAGGTTACACACTGCACAGCCTTGAGTTATGAGTCTACCCATTAAGCAGCTAGACTCCTCCAGCCCACGACATAGCTCAAAGGTAGCATGCTTCAAAGCTCAAATCATGAGTCATTTCAGTGAAAGAATAAACCAAAGAAGGGCACTGTAGAGACCAGACTGCAGCCTTGTAGAATGGTTTTCAAAGGCTTTTCGTTACAAACACTCCAAGATGTTGGGTCTAATAAAGGTAAATGTCACAAGAAACTGAAACTCAGACCCAGACAATACACACACACACATGGTTTAACCTTGCTGCATTGGGATCCTGTGACCTTAAAGAAGGATGAGGACAGGAAGCAAAATAGCAATAAACAACTGCTCTGGAGACAACCAATAACCCACAAATGGCCTGCACGTCAGGGAAACAGGACTGTCTGTTCCCGGCTCATTCTAATTCACCTGTCTCTTTACAGTGAAGATGAGCTTCAGACTAGAACACACATACGTTAGAAAAGATTCTATAGTGTTATATGAGAAATTAAACTTAGGGTATTTGCTGAGCCAGCAACCATCCTGGGTTATTCTCAAACACTTTGCTTTCATCGTTTTTTGAATACTGACTTCAAAGCTCCAGAGATAGTCACAGCAATTGTTTCTAGAAATGGTACTGAATATTCTAAGTTCACTCTTTGGCTCTATGTAAGCGGTTCTACCAGGCATTAAAGATTCATTGCTGGCTACTTATATATTTCTAGACTTCCAGCTCAAAGTTCAGACATATTAATTAATAGGAAGCATCTACTCTTTATTTCTTTCTATTCAGACATATTAATTAATAGGAAGCATCTACTCTTTATTTATTTCTATGTGTTTTCTCTCTAAAACAAAAACAATAAATGTGAAGAATGGTAGTTAGCAACAGCTAGCAGCTCTCCTAAGAAGCGAAGCTCACGAAAAGCGCGGGGGGAGGGAGATGAAATTAACTGCCTTTCAAGCTAATTAACATTCAAGCTAATTAACATTAAGCAGTGATTCAAATCACAGGAGATATTCAAAGTCGAGAATGCTTGAGAAAATAATCATGAAACAGAATCTATCCTAGGAAGAGATGTGCCTCTCCCTCATGCAAGCAGACCACGCCATGGCAAGCACCTGCATATGTGCAGTGAATGAGTGGCCTAACTGGGTGAAAGTCAAAAGGCCAATTGATTCGGGGTAAAATATCCAACACCATTAAAAACTTGTTGCCACGTTACTCTGCAGTAGGTATTCTCCTCATGTTGTTAGAAATCACAGACCACAGCATCTCATGCCCTGAAAGCAATTTGAAGGGGTCTCGTCCCCGCTGGCTCCCAGGCACACTCATTCTGAACATATGAGCGTTACATTATTGCTCAACTGTTCTCTGTGTTCCTTGGTCTTAACTTAGCACACGTTAGGACTCGGGCTTGTCCCTCCAGCTCTGACATGCAGTTCTCTGACATAATAAGCTGCAATAAGCCCAAAGCAGGAAACATAAATATCAGTGATAAGCTATGAAACAATGTCTCCAAACAGAAAAAAGGCAATTCTAGAAAGATCCATCTTACCTCAAAGCTCTTTACTTCTTCTTCACCATCATCGTCTTCTTCATCGTGACAACTCTGATTTGGGAGAAAAAAAGCAAAGGATATGGTGAGGAAGAGAATGGAAAAGAACGAGTTAGAATTAAATGATTTATCTTAATTTACCATCAATGTTGTTGAAGCAGATTCAATACACGCACAACTTATATGATATGATCAATGAATTCAGGAGCTAAAATGAACTGTGGTGTATCTAAAAAACGTCTTTTATGAAATTCAAATCTCCAACACCAACTTCACATGTAGCAGAGGTAACTCTGAGGTACATCTCTCACATGCTGTACACTTGCTGTTCATTTGCTTCCTTCAAATCTAGCCACAAATCTCAAAACACAAGGATCCCCTCTCCTCTTTTGTAAGTTGCCACCATCGCACGTTGACACAGGTGCACACAGTAGCCATTACTTAAAATTAGCAGAAAGCCATATACATTTATTAGAGAGATTCTTTTACAGTTGTTTTTAATCCCATTTCACCCAAAGGAAGAGAGCAAAACTTCATCAATAAGATCATTCTCTGCATATATCACTTATAAAACTGATTGTCCGGTTCTGTTGAGCGAGGGGCATATTCTTTTTCTAAGACTTATTTTTATTTTTTTCATTTATGTGTGTGTGTCTGTGTAAGTATATGCCACGTGTGTGCAGGTGTCCATGGAGGCTAGAACAGGGCATCAGATCCCCAAGAGCTGGAGTTACAGGCAGTTATGAGCCACCTGATGTGGGTGACATCTGATGTGGGTCCTCTGGGAAAGCAGCAAGCACTCTTGACCACTGAGTCATCTCTGCAGCCCTGATGAGCATGTTCTCATCTAATTCCTAGAGACAGAAGTTCTGCAGGTTAAGGAGGCCTGGGGGGATGGCGGCTGGGAACAGGGCTCAGGAGGCAGAAGACTGGTTCCACTCTGATGATGGCAACTTCAGCTCCTCTGGCTTGACAAATCACTCTGTCTCTTCATAGTGAATACAGAATAAGAGAGGGCATGTGGGTCCCTTTCTTGAGAATTTTATAGATGAGTACTGTATTTACAATATCCCATCCTTCCTTCTCCCCTGCTATTCCGCCCCCTTCTCAATTTCCTGAGCTATAATAATGGTTACACACACACACACACACACACACACACACACACACACACACACAAACAAACAAACAAACAACCTGCTGAGAACACTCAATAGTACTAATATGTACCCGTGTTTAGCGCTGACTACTTGGGGTTAGGTAACCTATTGGGGAGCTCCTTCTCTGACAAAAGCGGATTTGGATCTCTCAGAAGCCACTGGTGGCCTGCAGCTCTTCATCTATAGGTGGAACCTTGTGTAATTTCCTCTAGCCACACTGGTGTGTCAGCTGGTGTTTGTGCAAGTCTTGTTTAGGCAAGCACATTGCAATTTCAAGGGTGCAGTGTCCCTCGTGTCTGGAAGACACAAACGAGCAGCAGGTGTCTGGTCCTCTGGCTCTTAAAAAATAAAGTAGGGGCTGGAGAGATGGCTCAGGAGTTAAGAGCACTGGCTGCTCTTACAGAGGACCGGGAGTTACTGTCTGTAACTCCAGTTCCAGGGGATTCAATGCCCTCTTCTGAGCTCTGCACGACACGGGCACACTTATATACATGCAGGCAATACATTCATACACAAATTAAAATAAAATAAAATTGTGCGCTGCCCAGACACTGCTCACAATTGGGACTGTACTCATTTCCCACAGTGTGGCTCTTTCTCCTCCCTCTATACCATTCCCAGAATCCTCTGAGGGTCATACCGTGGCTGCACGACGTTTTCAATCATTCTCTTGTCCAACCTCCCAGCACAATGTGGTTTTCTATTTCTTTATAAGCTCATACTAAAGCTTTCTCTTTTCCTTCTTCCTAAGCATCTCTTAGTGTCTCTGTCCTTCCAGACTTGATCCTAGAACTTTGTCTTTTGTCTTCCCCTCTGAGGCAAGATCAGTTATACCCATGGCTTCCTCAGGAATCTAATTCTGATGAATCCATACAGTGCACTTAGAAGCCAACCTGAGGTACCAGACATCAGACATGAATGTCCAATGTACGAGATGCTTGACATCTTGTGGGAGTGACTGCTCTTGCTGTTGTGCTATCTGAAAGAAGTAATGAGGGTTATTTGGGCTCATGGGCATGGCTGTGAGGGTGTGAGGCCGCTGCCTACATGCATCAAGGCAACGGACAGGAAGGAAGAGGGCTTGGGCAGGAAGTCAGCCAGTGTGTGACCTTCGAAGGTCCACTCCCCAGTGACCCACATCCATCAGCCACACTTTCTACCCCCAAGACTCCACTGCCTCACCACACAGCAACAGCCTTTGAGAACCAAGTACTGGCATCTTTCTCATGCTCAGGATTTGATTCGCAATCCTCCCTCTTCAATCAACACCCGCCATTATTCTAGGGCTCCCTGGTTTGTATGTGGCACCCAAGGTTGAAACCTCAGCAGAAACTTGCTTCATATTTCATACGCCTCCCTCAATATCCTCCTTAGGAGGTACAAATAACAGCAACCTCGTTAGGAGGTACAAATAACAGCAATTTCTGTCACAACTACACGAGTTCATGTGTATAGCTGCCCTGTTGTGTCTGGAAAACATAATTTCTGTGTGTCATCTATCACCTCTGGCTTTTACAATCTTTCTGCCCCTCCAGGCATATGTGAGCAGCACAAATTGGACTTGGTTGGTGGGTTATTTACAAAAGAGGGCATGGAGTTGGGGGATGAGAGGTGGGTTGGATCTGGAGGTTGGGGTAAATATGATAAAAAATATATGTGAAAATCTCAACGAATTAACAAAAATATGTTTTAAATCCAGCAAAATGTTGTTGTTGCTCTATTTGATTTATAACTTACTCTTCCACAGTCAAGAACTTCCCAAGCAAATGACACCATTGTGCTGCACAAGC